CCCCCCCGTGCCAGCCTCCTGTTTCCCCATCCCCACTGTAGCCAACCCCCAGGTCCTCTCTAGTGCCAGTCCTCAGTATTAGCCTTGTCCACAGAGACACTCAGTCCCAGCCCTGTCCCTGTAGCCTCCCCACTACTAGTCCCACTCCCAGACACAGCTGCTGCATAGCTACACTGCTCTAGTAGTGCACAGAGATCTGAGTAAAGAGACAGATGATGAAAAAAATTCCCCCAAACATTTTTTTAAATAATTTTTGTTTGAGTTTTACAGCTCTCTTTGTTCATTTAAAAAGTTTAAGGAAAATTTAAGCCAGTATTAAATTAAGCCTATTCAGCAATTAGCATTCACCTTTGGTTTATCAGAATTTACTCAGTGAGAGTTGATTGTCTACTACAACTGATTACTTAATTATGCCTTCAAAAATATGGCAGTAAACTCTTTGTAACCCAGCCAAATTTTTCATGTTCATTTGAAATCAGTTCAATTTGGTAACAAGGAAAAAAAATCAAAACTCACATTGAGTTTCATCAGGTATCTTTCTGACTCATGATCAGTCCTTTCTTGTAAGATTCAGAGGGGTAGCCCTGTTACTTTGTAACTTTTAAAGAAACAAGTAGTCCTGTAGCACCTTAGAGACTTACAAAAATATATATGTAGTGTGAGCTTTCATGAGTGGGTTTTGCCAACAAAATCTCACATATTTATAGGGCTTGCCAGCTGTGCGGTTCTCTGGGCTGCACAGATCGCGTGGCACCGGCTGTGCCGGCTTGTAATCTACTCGCCATAGGCGAGTAGATTACATGATTTGTCGAGCTGTGTGTGTGTGTGTGTGTGACAAAATATATATTGTTAGTTTTTAAGGTGCTGCAGGATTACTGGTTGTCTTGGTCATAAGAGACAGTTTAAATAGAGGTTAACCTTTTCTAGACCATACATATTTCCTCTTAAAAATCTTAATCAAATACATAGAGTCCGTGAATAAAAACCTTAATAAGATAAAAAATTGAATATGTGCTTTGAGGATCTCAAATCTAGTACCTAATTTTTCGATGGAGAAGAAATAATGCTTAATGTCACGCGGAAGACTTCATTTGTTGATGGTTAGTTTATGTTTAATGGGATAAAGAGGGCTGATTAGCTGGTTGAACTGTTTTTTGGGGGTGAGGGGAAATGAATCCTTCTTCCCAATCCCTTCAGATTTTTGCTTGGTTTTCACTGGATACAGTTATAAGTCGTTTGAAGGAGAACATCTGTAGGAGGAACTTAGAGGCAGTGTAATCTAATGACTAAAGAAGAAAGTCAGGGTTCTATAATTGATTCTGCCGCTGACTTGTATGATGTTGAACAAGTTACTATATATTTCTTTTTTGGTTGTGGCTTATTAATAGACACCTCAACAGGGATCATGTGATGTTAAAATCCTATTTGAAAAAGTTTTGAGATCTTGAAATGACATATGACATAAATGTACAAATATTATTATTGTGGGCATATCTGTAGATATATTTTAGAACTGAAATGTCTGTCTATTTGTGCAAGAACTCCTTCTAAACGGTAATAGCTAGGGACACCAAATTTAGTAGGCAGTTTCCTCTTATCCTAACTTAAAGGAAGGTCAGATTTTGTCATGTTGGAAACAGGGGAAGTGGCAGGAATAGGGCTGTTTTCCACAACATGGAATGGGTGGGGGTGCGGAGAGAGGAGGGACACAATCCTCACACTCACTACTAGGGGCAACAAGTGGGGCTAGGATACTTCAGATTGGTGGGGCTAGGATACTTCAGATTGTGCACTGGGGACAGCCATGTCAGCACAAGACTGGCTGGGGACGGAGCTCTGCATGTTGCCAACCAGGCCACCTTCTACATGTAAGGCTCCTTTTCCCCCTCTCTCCCACAGCTACAGGGCCTCCCCTCCACCTATGGGTGCCTGCACACTCCCCCTTCTCCTTCTCCTTGCCCTCCTGCCCCAGCTGTGAGTCTCCTTAGGGGCATAGTGATTTTTTCCTTCCCCCAGCCTCTTCACCGACATGTGGGGATTCCCCTTCCTCCCCCACCCCAGTGCCTCATGGGACCTGGGGGTTCTCCCCTTTCT